CTGCCTGACCCATGGCACTGGGGACTTGGCTGGGGGGGCTGCCTGACCCGCGGCATTGTGGGCCAGGGGAGCTGGGAGAGGCTGGCAGGGGTTCCCCAGTTGGGGCCGGAGCCATGGGGCCAGCCCATCATTCCATGGAGGGGGGGTGATCCAGACTGACTGCTCCCCCCGCCCCAGATGAATAATGGCCTCGGCCTGGCTGCCCCCTCCCCTTGAACGCTGGAGTCTGCCCCATGACACTGATGTGGGGCATCTGTCGAGCTGGGGGGGCACTGGGGAACGGGATGGGCTTAGGGGGCATTGCTGGGGGACACCGGCTTGTGGCCGTGGTGTGACTCTGGGGGCGGTGGGGGGCTGGTCTAGGGCGGGGAGAGGGGGGTCTCTGGCCGCGCTGGCTCATGGCTCTGCCCCCCAGGTGAGGAAGAGGAGGAGGCGCCGGGCGAAGGCCCTGCCAGCCAGGCTGCGGAGGGAAGCAGCGGGGGCTCGGGGGGGCCCCCCACCCCGTCCCCGCCCCAGGTGACCCTGCCCCCTACTGCCAACCGGCCCAAACGCAAGTGCCGGCGGCGGCGGCTGCTCTTCACCGTGCGCCCGGTGAACGCCAACGGGACCAGCGAGCGCCCGGCCCTGCCAGGCGAGGGCTTTGCACTGCATGGTGAGTAGGGTGCCCCACGGCTGGTGGGACGGGGACTGTTCCCTCTGGGGGCGCTGGTCCCAATCCTGCACCAGGGCAGAGACTGGCTGGCTCAGAGGGGCAGGGACGGGGGCCTGGGGATGCTGTGCGGCAGGGTGGGGACTGGCTGGCACAGGGGGGGCAGGGATGGGGCTCCCCCGTAGGGGGCTCTGTGCGGCAGTGCGGGTAACATGGTGTCTCCCCTCGCCCAGCCCAGCTCTATATCGCCATCGACTGGGACTCGGATATGAAGAAACGATACTATGATGAGGAGGAGGCAGAGGTGATGATGCTAACCCGTGAGACTCCCTGCTGCAGGGTGTGATGGGTGGGGAATAGCTCAACCAGGGCATTAACCCGCGGGACTCCCTGCTGCAGAGTGCAATGGGCGAGGGCTAGCTCAGCCAGGGCATTAACCCGTGGGACTCCCTGCTGCAGGGTCTGACGGGGGTGGGGGTAGCTCAGCTAGGGCAGTAACATGTGGGACTCCCTCCTGCAGGGTCTGATGGTGGGAGGTGGGGAATGGCTCAGCCAGAGTGTGAACCCGTGGGACTCCCCGCTGTGAGGTGGGGCTCTGGGCCCCCCCTGACAGCCCCATCCCTCGGCAGGGCTACGTGAAACACGAGTGCATGGGCCATGTGCAGCGGCGGCAGCCAGTGAAGCTGCGGGAGTGCGTCGAGCTGTTCACCACTGTGGAGACGCTGGAGGAGGAGAACCCCTGGTGAGAGCCAAGCCCATAGGGCTGGGGGGCAGCAGTGCTGGGGGTTTATGTGCGCCAGGGCCTGGGCTCACCCTGCCCCTGACTCCCCAGGTACTGCCCCACCTGCAAGCGGCACCAGCTGGCCACCAAGAAGCTGGACCTGTGGGCGCTGCCCGAGGTGCTCATCATCCACCTCAAGCGCTTCTCCTACACCCGGCTCGCCCGTGAGAAGCTTGACACGCTTGTGGAGTTCCCCATCCGGTGAGGACTGCGGCTGACTCTGGGGCGGGGCAGCTGGGGAAAGGCTGCATATAACGCCACACAGGGACTGTTTGCTGGCGCTGAGATGCAGCCACCTCTGGGAGAAGGGCAGCGGGGAACAGTTGCACACAACAGTTGACAGGAAGTGTAAAAAAGAGTGCCACCCCTTGGGCTGCATGGAGGCCAGATAGAATCTCCTGTGCTGCGGATGGGCCAGGACACCAGGGTTCCCGCCCCCCGCTGCGCCCCCCGTAAATCCTCTCCTCTCCTTGCAGTGACCTCGACTTCTCTGACTTCATTATCAAGCCCTGGGCGGACGTGGCATCTGCGCCCCACAAATACGACCTGATCGCCGTCTCCAACCACTACGGGAGCCTGCGCGACGGGCACTGTATGCAGGGGCTGCGGGTTGGGAGTGAGGGGTGCCGGCCGAGCTGGGGGAGGGAGCCGGGGGGCTGCGGGTCGGGAGTGAGGGGCGCCGGCCGAGCTGGGGCAGGGAGCCGGGGGGGCTGCGGGTCGGGAGTGAGGGGCGCCGGCCGAGCTGGGGCAGGGAGCCGGGGGGGGCTGCGGGTCGGGAGTGAGGGGCGCCGGCCGAGCTGGGGCAGGGAGCCGGGGGGGCTGCGGGTCGGGAGTGAGGGGCGCCGGCCGAGCTGGGGCAGGGAGCCGGGGGGGCTGCGGGTCGGGAGTGAGGGGCGCCGGCCGAGCTGGGGCAGGGAGCCGGGGGGGCTGCGGGTCGGGAGTGAGGGGCGCCGGCCGAGCTGGGGCAGGGAGCCGGGGGGGCTGCGGGTCGGGAGTGAGGGGCGCCGGCCGAGCTGGGGCAGGGAGCCGGGGGGGCTGCGGGTCGGGAGTGAGGGGCGCCGGCCGAGCTGGGGCAGGGAGCCGGGGGGGCTGTGGGTCGGGAGTGAGGGGCGCCGTGGGCGCAGGGTCTCAACCCCCTCCCGTCTCTCAGATACGACGTTCGCCCGGAACAAGGACTCCAGCCAGTGGTTTTACTTTGACGACAGCAGCGTCTCGCCCGTGGCCGAGGCTCAGATCGAGGTGAGTCCGGCCCCGGGGGGCAGCAAGGTCTTGGCCGCCTGCCCCCTTCCCAGTAGGCCCTGCTGCCCCACTCAGGACCCATCTAGTCCTGTTTGCTCCTGCTCCCTCCATCCCTGTGGGGCGCGGTTCTCCCAGCATGCCCTGCTCTGGCGCGGTTCTCCCAGCATGCCCTGCTCTGGCGCGGTTCTCCCAGCATGCCCTGCTGTGTCTGACACTCTCCCTTTCTCCTGCAGTCGAAAGCCGCCTACGTCCTGTTCTACCAGCGCCAGGACCGGATCCGCCCCCCCCGCACTGCCCCCTGCCCCAGGCCCCCCGACGCTGGGGGGGGCTGCTGCAGCGACTCCATGGAGGTGGATTGACCCCCGAGGTGTGGGGGAGGGAGGAGCTGGGGTCCCTCCCACCCTTGACCTCAGAGACTTGCCCTGTGAAGACATCTCAGGCCTGTGAACTTGGGGGGCAGCTCCTCCCACCAGCTCAGGGGACCCCCTTCTACCGATGGGGGGGCTGGGCCCCTCCAGCAGCTTCCAAGGGAGGGGGACGGTGGCTGGTGCCAGCATTTCAGAGCCAGCCGGCACCCTGCTACCCCGCCCGTCCTGCCTGGGGGCAGGAGCATGTCTCAGCCTGGTGCACCAGTGGGGGGGCACATCTGAGCAATACGGCTGTCTGACCCTCCTCCCCCTTCCTGTTATCCCTGGTGGGGGCAGGGCTGGATGCACCCCCTTGGGGCACACTGCATCTGTGGGGTGAGTCCTGCTCCCCCTTTTCACCCCCTTTTGGCACTTTCAGGCCCCCCTAGCTCCTGTATCCAGGTGGCTCCTGCCGGCCTCAGTATTGAGCAATAACACCCCTTCTCCTCCCCCGGCTGTGGGGTTTTTAACTTATCTCGATGTTCATATGCACAGGGGGGCCCCCCTTTCTGCTGAGAGCCTGGGGGGTGAGGAAGCACCAGCACTAGAGGGGTTAACCCTCCCCACCCCCGGTGCTTTCAGGGCTGTACATAGCTGCCCAGGGGGCAGGGGCACATGGGGTGTTTTCTTACGCAGAGACACGTGGGGGGGGGGGCAAAGTGTCGCTCCTCCCCTGCGGTTTTGTGCAGATTATTTTTGTTTTCGGGGAAAGAAAAATATTTTTGGGGAATGTGGCAAAACTTGTATATAAAAGAACTTCCTTTTCACACTCAGCCCAGCTGCTTGTGACCTGGCTCGCGGCCCAGCCCCCCGGCCCGGGGTCCAGGCCCCTGCTCCACCAGGGGTTGGTCGTGAAAGAAACAGCAGCATGTTAGAATTCCTGGTTCAACACAGGATGGCTCGTCCGGGGCTGCGAGGCGCCCACCTCTGGGGCGGGGCAGCGGGGACCCGCGGCACATGGCGGCGAGGGGGGAGGGTTTGCCCGGCACGGGGATGCAGCCACCTCTGGGGCGGGGCAGCTGGGACCCGCGGCACATGGCGGCGAGGGGGGAGGGTTTGCCCGGCACGGGGATGCAGCCACCTCTGGGGCGGGGCAGCTGGGACCCGCGGCACATGGCGGCGAGGGGGGAGGGTTTGCCCGGCACGGGGATGCAGCCACCTCTGGGGCGGGGCAGCTGGGACCCGCGGCACATGGCGGCGAGGGGGGAGGGTTTGCCCGGCACGGGGATGCAGCCACCTCTGGGGCGGGGCAGCTGGGACCCGCGGCACATGGCGGCGAGGGGGCAGGGTTTGCCCGGCACGGGGATGCAGCCACCTCTGGGGCGGGGCAGCTGGGACCAGCCGCCAGAGGCATCACCCCCGGCCCAGACCTCGGCCCGTCCCACGGCCGGGGCCGGCAGCGGGGCCCGCGCAGCTGGGAAGCAGCCCAGGGGGCCGGGCCCCAGGCGGGGCGAGAGCCCGCGGGGCTGAGTGGGGCTGGGCCCGAGTGGGGCCGGGCCCGGGGCTGAGTGGGGCCGGGCCCGGGGCTGAGTGGGGCCGGGCCCGGGGCTGAGTGGGGCCGGGCCCGGGGCCAGGCGCTGCCTCGCGGGCGGGGCACGAGCCCCCAGAACCCGGCCCCGGGGCAGCCGCGCCCGCCCCGCCCGAAGGGGAGACACGGGGCGGGGCCGGGGGCGGGGCTTGGGGGCGGGGCTGGAAGAGGGCGGGGTCGGTGCCCTGAAGCCGCCCCCGGGGGGTGACGCGCCCGGGGGCGGGGCTCGGGGGACCCCGGACTTGGGGGGCGGGGTCAGGGCTCGGGGGCTCGGCCCGCCGAGCGGCGCTGCTGAGACCCGCTTCCGGCCTTCATGGCGTCACTCCTATGCGCCAAACACGCCACTTCCGGCTCCCGAGCCTCGTTGCCGAGGCTACCGCGTATGCGTCCGGCGCGCGCTTTATTCTCCAGTGCGGCGGGAAGCGCTACCGGGGTCAAAGTGACGGACCGGAGCGGTATCAACTTCCGTTTCCAGAGCGGAACTTCCCGGCGCGCGCTCCCAGCTGACTTCCGTTGAGGGCCGCCACCCGGAAGTGGCCGCGCACGCGTCTATTTCCGGCGGCTCAGTGGCGGTGGGGTGTGTGGGGGGGCTCCGTGACCTTTGACCTCCGAGGGGCGGGACCCGCAGCGCCCGCCATGGGGCCGGCAGGGAAGGCGCCGCGTTACGAGGCCTTCGTCAGCGACGTGCTGCAGCGAGACCTGTGGTGAGTCCTGGCCCCGCCCTCACTGACGGCTTCGCTCGGCCCCGCCCCCCTCGGCCCCGGCCCCGCCCCCTGGTCCCCTCGTGGCCCCGCCCTCATCGACTGCTCGCCCCCACCCCTTGGCCCCACCTTGCTCCCCCCACTGAGCACTCAGCCCCGCCCCCTGGTCCGCCTGGCCCCGCCCCACCACCTACATAGCCCCGCCCCCCTGCCCGCCTGGCCCCGCCCACACCGACTGCTCAGGCCTGCCCCCCATGGACCCCCGTCATTCACACCCCTCACCTCTCGCTTCAGCACATCCGCCCCCCCCGGCCTCGCCCCCCGCAGCGCCGCGGATCCCGGGACAGGCGCCCCCCGAGCCGAGCGACCCCAAGAGTCAGCAAGTGTCTCCCGCCGTCCGGCTCCCGCCCCTCACCGGCTCGGCCGGCCTGCCGCGGGGCCCGGCCCCTCGCGGATCTGTCAGCCGCTCTCGGGGCTCCCGGCCTCCCTTCTCCTCCGCTTTGCGCCCCGCTGGGCTAAAGCATGGGGTGCCCAGCGCCGGACACATCCCCGCAGCGCCGAGCACAGCGGGGCGCCCCCCCGTCCCCATTCACCCCCCCCGGACAGTCGCCTTTTCCGCCGGGCCCCACCTCCGACTCGGACCCTGTTTGTCACCCGCGGGGCTCCCCGGCCCCGGCGCTGGGTCCCCGGCCCCGGCGCTGGGTCCCCGGCCCCGGCGCTGGGTCCCCCAGGCTGCAGCTGCCCGGATCCCCCCTGCTCGGCCTCAGAGCCCTTCGCCGGGGTCCTTTACAGCCGAACCCGGGCCTCCGAATCGCTCCCGACCCCCAGCCCCCCGCCGGCCCGGCCCTGACCCCCAGCCCTGCCGGTGCCCCTCACTCCCGACCCGCACCCCCCGCCGGCCCGGCCCTGACCCCCAGCCCTGCCGGTGCCCCTCACTCCCGACCCGCAGCCCCCGCCGGCCCGGCCCTGACCCCCAGCCCTGCCGGTGCCCCTCACTCCCGACCCGCAGCCCCCCCGCCAGCCCGGCCCTGACCCCCAGCCCTGCCGGTGCCCCTCACTCCCGACCCGCAGCCCCCCGCCAGCCCGGCCCTGACCCCCAGCCCTGCCGGTGCCCCTCACTCCCGACCCGCAGCCCCCCGCCAGCCCGGCCCTGACCCCCAGCCCTGCCGGTGCCCCTCACTCCCGACCCGCAGCCCCCGCCAGCCCGGCCCTGACCCCCCAGCCCTGCCGGTGCCCCCTCCCCCCGACCCGCACCCCCCCCTGACCCCAGCCCCCGCCAGCCCGGCCCTGACCCCCCTGACCCCCAGCCCTGCCGGTGCCCCTCACTCCCGACCCGCAGCCCCCGCCAGCCCGGCCCTGACCCCCAACCCTGCCGGTGCCCCTCACTCCCGACCCCCGCAGCCCCCCCCCCAGCCCGGCCCTGACCCCCAGCCCTGCCGGTGCCCCTCACTCCCGACCCGCAGCCCCCCGCCGGCCCGGCCCTGACCCCCAGCCCTGCCGGTGCCCCCTCACTCCCGACCCGCAGCCCCCGCCGGCCCGGCCCTGACCCCCAGCCCTGCCGGTGCCCCTCACTCCCGACCCGCAGCCCCCGCCGGCCCGGCCCTGACCCCCAGCCCTGCCGGTGCCCCTCACTCCCGACCCGCAGCCCCCCGCCGGCCCGGCCCTGACCCCCAGCCCTGCCGGTGCCCCTCACTCCCGACCCGCAGCCCCCCCAGCCCGGCCCTGACCCCCAGCCCTGCCGGTGCCCCTCACTCCCGACCCGCAGCCCCCCGCCAGCCCGGCCCTGACCCCCAGCCCTGCCGGTGCCCCTCACTCCCGACCCGCAGCCCCCCGCCGGCCCGGCCCTGACCCCCAGCCCTGCCGGTGCCCCTCACTCCCGACCCGCAGCCCCCCGCCGGCCCGGCCCTGCCGGTGCCCCTCACTCCCGACCCGCAGCCCCCCGCCAGCCCGGCCCTGACCCCCAGCCCTGCCGGTGCCCCTCACTCCCGACCCGCAGCCCCCCGCCAGCCCGGCCCTGACCCCCCAGCCCTGCCGGTGCCCCCTCACTCCCGACCCGCAGCCCCCTGCCAGCCCGGCCCTGACCCCCAGCCCTGCCGGTGCCCCTCACTCCCGACCCGCAGCCCCCCGCCAGCCCGGCCCTGACCCCCAGCCCTGCCGGTGCCCCTCACTCCCGACCCGCAGCCCCCGCCAGCCCGGCCCTGACCCCCAGCCCTGCCGGTGCCCCTCACTCCCGACCCGCAGCCCCCCGCCAGCCCGGCCCTGACCCCCAGCCCTGCCGGTGCCCCTCACTCCCGACCCGCAGCCCCCCGCCAGCCCGGCCCTGACCCCCAGCCCTGCCGGTGCCCCTCACTCCCGACCCACAGCCCCCCGCCAGCCCGGCCCTGACCCCCAGCCCTGCCGGTGCCCCTCACTCCCGACCCACAGCCCCCCGCCAGCCCGGCCCTGACCCCCAGCCCTGCCGGTGCCCCTCACTCCCGACCCACAGCCCCCCGCCAGCCCGGCCCTGACCCCCAGCCCTGCCGGTGCCCCTCACTCCCGACCCACAGCCCCCCGCCAGCCCGGCCCTGACCCCCAGCCCTGCCGGTGCCCCTCACTCCCGACCCGCAGCCCCCCGCCAGCCCGGCCCTGACCCCCAGCCCTGCCGGTGCCCCTCACTCCCGACCCGCAGCCCCCGCCAGCCCGGCCCTGACCCCCAGCCCTGCCGGTGCCCCTCACTCCCGACCCGCAGCCCCCCGCCAGCCCGGCCCTGACCCCCAGCCCTGCCGGTGCCCCTCACTCCCGACCCGCAGCCCCCCGCCAGCCCGGCCCTGACCCCCAGCCCTGCCGGTGCCCCTCACTCCCGACCCGCAGCCCCCGCCAGCCCGGCCCTGACCCCCAGCCCTGCCGGTGCCCCTCACTCCCGACCCGCAGCCCCCCGCCAGCCCGGCCCTGACCCCCCAGCCCTGCCGGTGCCCCTCACTCCCGACCCACAGCCCCCCGCCAGCCCGGCCCTGACCCCCAGCCCTGCCGGTGCCCCTCACTCCCGACCCGCAGCCCCCGCCAGCCCCCCTGACCCCCAGCCCTGCCGGGGCCCCTCCACCCCCCCCCCCCCCCCCCCCCCCAGCCCGGCCCTGACCCCCCAGCCCTGCCGGTGCCCCTCACTCCCGACCCACAGCCCCCGCCAGCCCGGCCCTGACCCCCAGCCCTGCCGGTGCCCCTCACTCCCGACCCGCAGCCCCCCGCCAGCCCGGCCCTGACCCCCAGCCCTGCCGGTGCCCCTCACTCCCGACCCGCAGCCCCCCGCCAGCCCGGCCCTGACCCCCCAGCCCTGCCGGTGCCCCTCACTCCCGACCCGCAGCCCCCCGCCAGCCCGGCCCTGACCCCCAGCCCTGCCGGTGCCCCTCACTCCCGACCCGCACCCCCCGCCAGCCCGGCCCTGACCCCCAGCCCTGCCGGTGCCCCTCACTCCCGACCCGCACCCCCCGCCGGCCCGGCCCTGACCCCCAGCCCTGCCGGTGCCCCTCACTCCCGACCCGCACCCCCCCCCGGCCCGGCCCTGACCCCCCAGCCCTGCCGTCCCCTCCCTCCCGACCCCCACCCCCCCGCCGGCCCGGCCCTGACCCCCAGCCCTGCCGGTGCCCCTCACTCCCGACCCGCACCCCCCCCGCCCGCCAGCCCGGCCCTGACCCCCCAGCCCTGCCGGTGCCCCTCACTCCCGACCCGCACCCCCCGCCAGCCCGGCCCTGACCCCCAGCCCTGCCGGTGCCCCTCACTCCCGACCCGCACCCCCCGCCAGCCCGGCCCTGACCCCCAGCCCTGCCGGTGCCCCTCACTCCCGACCCGCAGCCCCCCGCCAGCCCCGCCCTGCCGGTGCCCCTCACTCCCGACCCGCAGCCCCCCGCCGGCCCGGCCCTGACCCCCCAGCCCTGCCGGTGCCCCTCACTCCCGACCCGCAGCCCCCCGCCAGCCCGGCCCTGACCCCCCAGCCCTGCCGGTGCCCCTCACTCCCGACCCGCAGCCCCCCGCCAGCCCGGCCCTGACCCCCAGCCCTGCCGGTGCCCCTCACTCCCGACCCGCAGCCCCCCGCCAGCCCGGCCCTGACCCCCAGCCCTGCCGGTGCCCCTCACTCCCGACCCGCAGCCCCCGCCAGCCCGGCCCTGACCCCCCAGCCCTGCCGGTGCCCCTCACTCCCCGACCCGCAGCCCCCCCGCCAGCCCGGCCCGGCCCTGACCCCCAGCCCTGCCGGTGCCCCTCACTCCCGACCCGCAGCCCCCGCCAGCCCGGCCCTGACCCCCCAGCCCTGCCGGTGCCCCTCACTCCCGACCCGCAGCCCCCCCCCCGCCCTCTGCCCCCCCCCCCCCCCCCCCCCCCCCCCAGCCCGGCCCTGACCCCCAGCCCTGCCGGTGCCCCTCACTCCCGACCCGCAGCCCCCCGCCAGCCCGGCCCTGACCCCCAGCCCTGCCGGTGCCCCTCACTCCCGACCCGCAGCCCCCCGCCAGCCCGGCCCTGACCCCCAGCCCTGCCCCACCCCCCCCAGCCCTGCCGGTGCCCCTCACTCCCGACCCGCAGCCCCCCGCCAGCCCGGCCCTGACCCCCAGCCCTGCCGGTGCCCCTCACTCCCGACCCGCACCCCCCCGCCAGCCCGGCCCTGACCCCCAACCCTGCCGGTGCCCCTCACTCCCGACCCGCACCCCCCGCCAGCCCGGCCCTGACCCCCAGCCCTGCCGGTGCCCCTCACTCCCGACCCGCAGCCCCCCGCCAGCCCGGCCCTGACCCCCAGCCCTGCCGGTGCCCCTCCCACCCGCCCCCCGCCAGTCCCCCTGACCCCGCACCCCCGACCCGCAGCCCGGCCCTGACCCCCAACCCTGCCGGTGCCCCTCACTCCCGACCCGCACCCCCCCCAGCCCGGCCCTGACCCCCAGCCCTGCCGGTGCCCCTCACTCCCGACCCGCAGCCCCCGCCAGCCCGGCCCTGACCCCCAGCCCTGCCGGTGCCCCTCACTCCCGACCCGCAGCCCCCCGCCA